TTAGTAAAAACAATCTTTCCACTATGTTGAAGATTTTAGGTTTTATGACAACATCACAATGTTCCAAGACTAGTACAAAAGAAAAAAGTTAGTCAAATACCAAATATTAACAATTTGCACTGAGGGAAATAAAAATTTAAATTTCATAAATAAGAGGTAATATGAAAATAACTCTATGTCTCGAAGAACACCTTTTTTTTCAAACATAGGGCAGCCATCTGCTTAAAATGAGCACAGGCCAAACAAATTCTCTGGGTCCTCTTCCACTGAATATTACATGTTTTATTTTTTTTTTTATACTTGCACTAATATATGGATTATTTATAATAGAAATGAAACGTACTAATACATTATAACAAGCATCAAATGTTATCATAAAATACAATTAATTTTGGAGACTGTGGTCAGAGATGAAAATACATTCAAATCATGTTCCTGTAGTAAGGAGATTTTTTTTTATTTATTCAGCTAATCAATTTAATTTGATAAATCATTAAGGAACTGCATACCCAACAAAGTAACTTTCTTATTAAAGTTAATCACTCTCATAGAAAAAAGGAAAACAAATAAAAAAATTGAGGAAATAATAAATAAACACACTCAGAAGAGGCGTCACATAAGTGTTAAGTGAAGTTTGTGTTCAAATGTTTAATATATATTTAATCATATTAAAAAAATAACTAAGTGTAGACTTTTGAATGTATACCCTTACAATTTAACTGGAATAAACATTTTTTTTTTCACTCGAGGTAAACATGTTACAATTCGAGGTGTTAGATTGCAATTTATAATTTCAATTTTCAAGATGTGTCATTTTAATTCATCGAATACATGAGGAAGTATGTAGGGTGTAGGAATTTACGGAGTTTGTAAAGCAGTCCTGGGTGCCAGACTCGATCAAAAGCCTGTTCTACATCGAGAAAGACTCCCGTGCAGTACATTCCGCGCTCCAATGCAGAGGAGACAACATCCACCACACGATGGCATTGCTGGATAGTGGAATGGGATCTGCGGAATCCAAATTGATGATCTGGGATAATGTGATTAGAATCTAGGATGGGATACAGGCGTTTTAGGATGAGCTTTTCCAGGATTTTGCCTAGGATGGGTAAAAGGGAGATAGGGTGATAGGAGGATGGGTTTTCTGGTGGCTTTTTGGGTTTATGTATCATTTTGATAATAGATAATTTCCTAGGGTAAGGAAAGTATGTTGATCGCAGTACAGCATTATATATATATATATATATATATAAGTAAGGAATAGAATGGCTTTCCAAGGAAGCAGTTTCAGGATCTGGAATGTAATTAGGTGTTCAGGAGCTTTCCGGGAAGGTAACCTTTGAATGATGTCGGATATTTCTGAAAGATGAAAGACATTAGGTGGAAGAGACATTTGGAGTGGGATATCCAGTTTTGCCTCAATACATTCAAGGTGATTTGGGTTAAGAATATCGGGGTGTGGATTAAAGGTTTTAAAGAGGTGACGAGCAAAGATTTGTGATTTTTGTTCATCGGATTTGGACCAGGTTTGAGCTTCAGTAAGAAGTGGATGATTACAGTCTTTAAATTTCAGGAGCCTTTTAGTGGTCGTCCATAGTGATTTGTCGATAGGTGTAAGTTTTCCAGTAAAATTTAGTAAATTTTGTATTTTTTAATTTCAGATTTTAGTTTGTTAGTCAGTTGGGTATAATGAGTTTTATCTGTTGGATATCTGGTTCTGTCACTTCGATCTTGCTCTGCGTTTTTCCTTCAATAAGATACGAATATGCTATGGCAAGTCAGTCTTTTGAGAATTGTTAAAATTATTGATAAAAGTATTATTATTTATACTGTCTGTTATTGACGTTGTCAGTTTTTCAATGGCACCATTAATGTTGTCTTTTGTCTTTAGCGGAATTTTTAAGTCTAGTTTATTTTCCAAATCATCACGAAATTCGTCTCAGTTTGCTCGTCTAGTAATCAATTTAGGAGTTGATGGTTTAGGAGCATAGCTCGAATGTAGTGAAAGCAGAACTGGACTATGGTCTGAAGAAAGGTCATCAAGGGATTTGATTATGGTTTGTGAGGAGGAGATCTGGGAAGTTATAAATATATCTAGGATATCGGGACGTTTTTGAGGGATGTTGACCAATAAGTAGGACTCATGGGCGAAAGGATTGAATAATTGTTGGAATTTGAAACACGTGATAGGATGTTACCACAAGGGTTGGATGTTTGACAACCCCATCGTTGGTGTTTAGCATTGTAGTCTCCTCCAGCAATTAAAGATTAAATATATATTGATCATATCATTATCAATAATAATTAGCTTGAATGTGTTACATTGCAATTTATAATTTCAATTTTGAAGATGTGTCTTTTTAATAAGAGGGAGTACAAATATAAAATTATATTCTTGCAAGACTGCAAACTACGAGTACTATGAAATATGTAACTTATATGTACATAAAAAAAAATTTAAAAAACAACAAAAACTAGTGAAGTTTGTGTTCAAATGTTTAATATATATTTAATCATATTAAAAAAATAAATAAGTGTACACTTTTGAATGTATACCCTTCAAATTTTACTGGATTAAACATCTTTTTTTTCACTCGAGGTAAACATAATAAATATTGAGCAACAGATAATATCTGTTTGGTGATTTTTTTTATTTTAACTGTGCAGTATGTCTTGTAAGCTTATTTATATAACGATATGCTGCTCATATTTGGAAAAAGCCGCGCTGTTCTAGTAATTAATCAACTAGGTACATTTTTTTTTTAGTAAAAACAATCATTGCACTATGTTGATGATTTCAGGTTTTAAGACAACCTCACAATGTTCCAAGACTAGTACAAATGGAAAAAAATTAGTCATATAACGAATATTATCAATTTGCACTGAGGAAAATAAAAATGTAAATCTTTAAAGCTCTTCCTTTCCCTACCTTTGATCCACCAATGACAGATGGTGTTTCTACGACCTTTAATATGGAGCTGATACTTTGAAATTAAATTGAATCAACTAGGTAGGGGGAGAATGTGGTAAGCACATGTGCCAGATGAACACCAGCTAACAGGTTCAATTGTCTGTATGTTAATGGGATCAGATGGGTTCTAGTAAAACAAATTAATCAGAGGAATCTGTTAAATTGTTAAAGATTAAATATATATTGATCGTATCATTATCAATAATAATTAGCTTGAATTTGTTACATTGCAGCTTATAATTTCAATTTTGAAGAATTGTATGTATAATAAGAGAGGGCAAAAATATAAAATTATATTCCTGCAAGACTGCATACTAGGATTACTATGAAATATGTACCGTAAATAAAAAAAAATTAAAAAAAACAACAGAAACTGGTGAAGTTTGTGTTCAAATGTTTAATATATATTTAATCATATTAAAAAAATAAATAAGTGTACACTTTTGAATGTATACCCTTCAAATTTAACTGGAATAAACATTTTTTCTTTTCACTAGAGGTAAACATAATAAATATTGAGCAACAGATAATATTTGTTTGGTGATTTTTTTAATTTTAACTGTGCAGTATGTCTTGTAAGCTTATTTTTATAATGATATGCTGCTCATATTTGGAAAAAGCCTTGCTGTTCTAGGAATTAATCAACTAGGTACATTTTTTTTTTAGTAAATACAATCTTTCCACTATGTTGAAGATTTTAGGTTTTATGACAACATCACAATGTTCCAAGACTAGTACAAAAGAAAAAAGTTAGTCAAATACCAAATATTAACAATTTGCACTGAGCGAAATAAAAATTTAAATTTCATAAATAAGAGGTAATATGAAAATTACTCTATGTCTCGAAGAACACCTTTTTTTTTCAAACATAGGGCAGCCATCTGCTTAAAATGAGCACAGGCCAAACAAATTCTCTGGGTCCTCTTCCACTGAATATTACATGTTTTATTTTTTTTTATACTTGCACTAACGTATGGATTATTGTATTATGGAGATGAAACGTACTAATACATTATAACAAGCATCAAATGTTATCATAAAATACAATTAATTTTGGAGACTGTGGTCAGAGATGAAAATACATTCAAATCATGTTCCTGTAGTAAGGAGATTTTTTTTTATTTATTCAGCTAATCAATTTAATTTGATAAATCATTAAGCAACTGCATTCCCAACAAAGTAACTTTCTTATTAAAGTTAATCACTCTCATAGAAAAAAGGAAAACAAATAAAAAAATTGAGGAAATAATAAATAAACACACTCAGAAGAGGCGTCACATAAGTGTTAAGTGAAGTTTGTGTTCAAATGTTTAATATATATTTAATCATATTAAAAAAATAACTAAGTGTAGACTTTTGAATGTATACCCTTACAATTTAACTGGAATAAACATTTTTTTTTTCACTCGAGGTAAACATGTTACAATTCGAGGTGTTAGATTGCAATTTATAATTTCAATTTTCAAGATGTGTCATTTTAATTAGAGAGGGTATAAATATAGAACTATATTCTTGTAAAACTGCAGACCAGGAACACTTTGAAAAATATATATATTGAATTTTAAAAAATACAAAAACTTATGCAGTTTGTGTGCTGAAAAATTGAATAATTAGAAAGAAGTAGTCAGAAAATCATCAGCAATAGAATTAATAATGATTAATATAATTGCAATCATATTAAAGAAATAAATAAGTGTACACTTTTGAATGTATACCCTTTAAATTTTACTGGAATAAACATCTTTTTTTTCACTCGAGGTAAACATAATAAATATTGAGCAACAGATAATATCTGTTTGGTGATTTTTTTAATTTTAACTGTGCAGTATGTCTTGTAAGCTTATTTCTATAATGATATGCTGCTCATATTTAGAAAAAGCCTTGCTGTACTCGGAATTAATCGACTAGGTACATTTATTTTTAGTAAAAACAATCATTGCACTATGTTGATGATTTCAGGTTTTAAGACAACCTCACGATGTTCCAATACCAGTACAAATGGAAAAAATTAGTCATATAACAAATATTATCAATTTGCACTGAGGGAAATAAAAATGTAAATCTTTAAAGCTCTTCCTTTCCCTACCTTTGATCCACCAATGACAGATGGTGTTTCTACTCCCTTTGATATGGAGCTGATACTTTGAAATTGAATTGAATGAACTACTTAGGGGGATTATGTGGGAAGCACATGTGCCAGATGTACACCAGCTATCAGGTTTAGTTGACTGATAATTAGCTTGAATGTGTTACATTGCAGCTTATAATTTCAATTTTGATGAATTGAATGTATAATAAGAGAGGGCAAAAATATAAAATTATATCCCTGCAAGACTGCATACTAGGATTACTATGAAATATGTACTGTAAATAAAAAAAAATTAAAAAAAACAACAGAAACCGGTGAAGTTTGTGTTCAAATATTTAATATATATTTAATCATATTAAAAAAATAAATAAGTGTACACTTTTGAATGTATACCCTTTAAATTTAACTGGAATAAACATTTTTTTTTCACTAGAGGTAAACATAATAAATATTGAGCAACAGATAACAGATATGTTTTATAAGCTTATTTTTATAATGGTAGGCTGCTCATAAGGGGAGAATAAAAGTCGTTACAAGGGAGGGGGAGAGTTTAATATATATATATATATATATATATATATATATATATATATATATATATATATATATATATATATATATATATATATATATAATCATATTAAAAAAATAAATAAGAGTACACTTTTGAATGTATACCCTTTAAATTTAACTGGAATAAACATTTTTTTTTTCACTAGAGGTAAACATAATAAATATTGAGCAACAGATAATATCTGTTTGGTGATTTTTTTTTTTTGCTGTGCAATATGTTTTATAAGCTTATTTTTATAATGGTAGGCTGCTCATATCTTCTCATCTCCGAACTAGACATCAAAATCATTCTAGAGCTCCGCAGTCACCAGCAGCAACCTTTTTGCCACGCCCACCTAGTCACCATTCACCTTCTTCAACTGCGGCCATTACCACATCTCGCGTCAACATTTCATCTCCGGCCATCACTATTTCTCACGCCAACTCTTCTTCTTCATCTACAGCTCTTCAAGCACTTGATGTACAACCCTCCACCCAACCTCATACATCTTTTTCCTTATTGAAGTCTACCTACCCTCATCTTAAATCGCGCATCAACAACCTGTGTCACCTTCATCGACGTCTTGCTAATAGCACCCAACAGCGTATATTTCTTCTCAAATGCCGTTCTTATTCCATCTTTCCTAAATTCATAGAAAACTCTTTTAACCGCTTTTCAATATCACCTCCGTTCAACTCTAAATTATTAAATTTCTCTTTTAAATTTAAAAAATCTTTGCTTAACCTAAAAATCCACGAAACCATTCAAAATATTAATTTTCTCCATAACCAAATTTCTGTTCTCACCCAATTTTTAGATCATAACATCACCCAAGAAGACGTTAATAATCTCTCCGTTTGCATTTCCAATATCTTTAATTCCACTAAAGCACAGAAGAAACTTATACTAATTTCCAAGTTTAATAATTTGTACCAGGTCACTCTCAAAACCAAGGTTTATCCTGCAGGAAAAGAAGAATGGGTAGACAATATCTCTTCCACTGACATCCCCTCCAAAGTCACTAATATTTTAAGTTTAGGACCTAATTTTTCCACACCCAACACTTCTGTCAAAATTATTCCACAACTTATCACTGATCTCGAATATATTTACGCAGACGATTTTTTCACCACTTCAAAAGAAAATAAGGAGTTGTCACGCGTTTACATCTGTAATATTATTTCCAATTATCTCTTACACCCACCGCTCTCCTCTTCTTCTTTTTCTCCTGAATTTTTCAAAGACCTCTCTTTTACCCGATCCTTCTTAAAATCGCATGATAATATAATCATAACCAGAGCTGATAAAGGCAACAAAACTGTAATTATGGACCGTACAGAATACACTGACAAAATGACTTTACTCCTATCAGACCGTTCCACTTACCCTCCTACATCCCGTGATCCTACCTCATCATTAAAAACCAAATTTAACCTACACCTAAAAAATCTTCTAAATTCTAAACTCATAAACTATCCTACTTACAGAAACCTTATCTCCTACAATTCAGTTGCTCCCCGTTTTTATGGACTTCCTAAAATCCACAAACCCGGCACCCTACTCCGTCCGATCACTTCCAACATTAATTCTCCTTCTGTTAAACTTAGCAAATTCTTACTACCTTCCTTACAAATCTTCAGCCACAACAACCCTTATGATGTACAAAACTCATTCCATCTCCGTGAACAGCTACTCTCCTTTACCATTCCAGACAATTTCATTCTTTGCTCCTTCGATGTTGAAAGTTTATTTACGAACGTACCCATAGACAAGGCACTTACTATAATAGACGACAATTGGACTATCGTTGAACCTCACACCTCACTTAACCACTCCTCATATCTCGAATCCCTTCATCTATGCTGTAAATCAGGCTACCTCACTTTCCAAGGACAATTTTTTAACCAAATCTCCGGACTAGCAATGGGTAACCTCCTCGCTCGAACATCGTTCTCAATGATCTTCTAGACTCCATTATCCCTCTTTACCCTGACGATATCATCTTTATTCGGAAATACGTAGACGACCTCCTCCTAATCATCAATCCAAATAAAATTCCTGATATTCTATCACATTTTAACTCTTACCACCCCCGCCTCAATTTTACAGTACAACGCGAACTCAATAATTCTCTCCCTTTTCTCGACCTTCTAATCATTAAAAATCCCAATAACACCATATCCACAGACTGGTACACTAAACCAACTTACAATGGCAGACTCCTAAATTTCCATTCTAAACATCCCTACCACCAAAAAATTAACGTTGCAAAAAATCTCATCCACCGTAGTCTCTCCCTCTCTGATCCCCAATTTCATGTTACCAATACCAAACGCATAAAACAGATCCTGTCAAACAATAATTTTCCTCTCCATGTCATTAACAAACTTATAACAGACCACAATAATCGCTCTTCCTTAATATCAACTTCCATTATTTCTCCACAACCCATTTCAGCCCCTATATACAGATCTCTACCTTATATTCCTAACCTTTCAGACAACATCAACAAAGTTTTACGATCTACTAACCCTAACTTACGACTTGCATTCAAATCTCACAACACTCTCTCAAAACTATACACATCCCTAAAAGATCCGGTTCCTCTCTCACACCGCTCTCATATCGTTTACAGCATTCCATGTTCTACCCCCAATTGTTTTTCATCCTATATTGGTGAAACCAAAAATCTCCTAAAAGACCGCATAATCCAACATAAATATTCTGTATCCTCTCGTAATTTTACCGCTTCCAAATTATCCGAACATTCTCTCTCCCTCAATCATTCATTTGATTTCGACAAAACATCCATCCTTGCCACAGTTCTCAACCATGACAAACGACTCATTTCTGAAACCCTCCACATCCAGCTTCAACCAAAGACAGTGAATCTTAAATCTGACAAACAGAACTTTTCTTTAGCCTATTCCCAAATTCTGAATTTATTAAAACATCCATAGTTATATTCCTTTCCTTTTTGCTGACAACTCCCTTATATATATATATATATATATATATATATATATATATATATATATATATATATGTGTGTGTGTGTGTGTATGTGTGTATATATATATATGTATATATATGTATATATGATATATTTTTATTTCAATTTTTCTCCCTTATTACTCAATAGTTATTTTTCTTTTGAATTTTTCTTTCACTTTCTATTAACTTTCGTTCAATTTTCCATAATTTTTCTAAATAATATATCTCTCGTACCTATTTAGGCTTCCAGCGCTTTTAGTTCAAACTTCGTCTGATAACCGTTAGAGATGACGCCACCTTCACATCTCTTCTCTCTCCCCCTCCCTTATAACGACTTTTATTCTCCCCTTGACACTTAAAGAGAAAGGTAGTACTTCTTTTATTTCTTTCTTATTTCAGCTTTCTCAATTTCTTCCCTCCTTCCTTTCATCCCTTTTCTCTGTTTTTAACTCTTTATTATACTATGCATTGTGTGTACATCAAGATAGACTTTACAATATCTCAATTTTCTGTCTAACTACTCCATTCTCAATGTTTTAATTTTACTATTTATTTTATTTTCATTTCTTATATAACTTTATATTTCTTTTTTATGTTTTTACATTTTATTCTAAGATTCCAAATGTAACACTTTTGTCACCCCTTTTTGATTATGCCTACTTCATCATTCCACACTAGGTAACAGTTTTTATTATTTATCTCTTAGTTCTTAGTCATTATTTTAACAATTTCATTTTATTTTATATCTATCTATTTTATTTTTCTAATAAGTTTTTTTAAATTTTATTTTCTCATTTTTTATTATCTTTTTTACCATCATTACTTATGTTTCTCATACCTTGTTATCTGGTTATTTTCTTAGCCCTGATGAAGGCCTGAACTTCAGGTCGAAACGTCGGCATATGTAAAAAATAAATATTATAATTTATTTTTTGCCTTCCTTTTTGACTGAGCACCCCAACTATTCTTCTCTTCATTATATTTAATCATATTAAAAAAATAAATAAGTGTACACTTTTGAATGTATACCCTTCAAATTTAACTGGAATAAACATTTTTTTTTTTCACTAGAGGTAAACATAATAAATATTGTGCAACAGATAATATTTGTTTGGTGATTTTTTTAATTTCAACTGTGCAGTATGTTTTGTAAGCTTATTTTTATAATGATATGCTGCTCATATTTGGAAAAAGCCTTGCTGTACTCGGAATTAATCGACTAGGTACATTTATTTTTAGTAAAAACAATCATTGCACTATATTGATGATTTCAGGTTTTAAGACAACTTCACAATGTTCCAAGACTAGTACAAATGGCAAAAATTAGTCACATAACAGATATTATCAATTCGCACTGAGGGAAATAAAAATGTAAATCTTTAAAGCTCTTCTTTTCCCTACCTTTAATCCACCAATGACAGATGGTGTTTCTATGCCCTTTGATATGCAGCTGATACCTCGAAATTGAATTGAATCAACTAGGTAGGGGGAGAATGTGGTAACCACATGTGCCAAATGAACACCAGC